AATCAGTTTGTGTGTTCTGCCTCCTGCTGATGCCACAGCCATGGAGGGAGGGAAGTGCTCAACCAACAAAACCCTCCCAGCAGTAACAGCAGAAGCCAAGGCAGCCAAAATCCAGGAGTACAGCAGGGAGCAGGTTTTGTTTCTGGATGGCTTGGGAGAGCAGAAGCCATGTGTATTTTCCCAGGGATGAGGGGAGCTGGTTCACCCCGCTGGGAGTGTGTGCTGGTCGTTTGGATTAAAGGCTCTTTCATTCCCACGTCCCTTCTGTAGCTCGAGCAGTTCTCCCAGGATGGCATGAGCTTACACAGGGTCAGGCACAAGGTGTTTGCACCAAGTGTTGCTGCAGTCCTGTTTTGGACACCCGAGTGTGCTGTGTGTGGCACTGAAGGCCACGGGGTGCTGGGAGAGGGACGGGCACAGTGCCCAGCCCAGCACCTCTCACTCACCTGTGCAGGAGTGCCTGGAGGTGGGATGGCTCTGGGTGCTCTGTGAGCACACACAGGCTGGCAGCTGTCACTGAACACTGCCTGTTTCCTGTGTCTTTGCGTCACATTTCAGCTGAGTTTTTAATAGCTTTTTGGAACTTCCTAGGGGGATCCCAGAGGCAGAAAACGAAAAAAACCTGGAGAATTCTTATGGTGTGTGCTCTGCCAAAGAAGCCTGGCAGTTCTGTTAACAAGATCACTTCCCCTGTTACATGAATTATTGTTGTTTTTAATTAGAAGTAATGCTGTAGTTTGGATGTACAGCACAATGGGGTATAAAATGCAGTTCAGCACAGATACCAAAGCTGGTTTTTCCAATTATAAACCTATTTAGAAGGTGGATACACTAGAAATGATGGAATGCCAAACTGCAGATGAGGTGAGCAGGCTGGATACACGTGCACCCCTGCACACGCTGTTGTACAAAAGAGGAGAGTGCTCTGGAAAACAGTTACGTATGCATAATTAGCTTAATCTGAAATTAATGCTGATTTCTGCAATTTGTGATGCAGATTCACTATTAGTACTGTAGTCCATGCCACTGTATTGAGAAGTTGAGGCTGCACAGCCTCAAAGTGACGAATTCCACACTGGGGTGTGCCAGAACTGGGTTCAGCACAGGTTCCTGGGGTGTTCCATGTGCTGGGGTGTGTCTGTGTCTCCTGCTTTGGGGTTTTACATGGATTTACATGGGTTTTACTTCCCAGCATGGCCTGCCAGTGGCACACTCGGGCTCCTCTGTGCCAGCTGGGTGTCAGCACTCATCCTTTCCACCCTCACCACCCTGAGCCAGGAGCTCTGCACTAAAACTGGAGGCAGGGGGACACCTCAAAGGCTGTGTAGAGAATGGTTGGGAAATGATACTAAAAGCCATTACCCTGAAGTTAAACATGTAACTTCTTTGTTGAATGTCGACAGGGCCTTGACTCATCTAGAAGGAATGGTGGATACTTGCTGCTTGAGAATTTGAAGTTCTGGGAATCCTGCAAAATATTTCATGAGCTTAAAATCTACTTTTTTAATTTTTACTAGTCAGCATTATGAGGCAGTTTTGGTGGGGGAGGAAGAGCCACAGAAGATGATGAGCAGCATTACTGTGTGAGTGTGAGGGGGGTTCAGGGGCTCAGAGCTGGAGCCCCAGCTCTGCACAACCTCCTTCATTTCACTGGGTAGCCTGGGTTTAGCTCATGTCTGTATTGACATCTTTGAGTGGGACGAGGCTTTGGTTCCCAGAGGCTGCATCTTCAGCCTGTTGTGTAGAGGAGATTTACCTGATACGCCCCAAACTGATCTAATTACAGCCATAACCTTGCACCAAGTGCCATAAACCACCAGCCTTGCCTGGCTGAAGCAGGGAAGGTTTTCTTCCTGCTCCTGCACCTCCTGAAGTGTTTGCTCAGTTTCAGAGCACAAAGGCAATTATATTTTTCAAAAGCCAAGCCAGTAAAGAGAATGTAACCTTGAATGCCTCCTCGCAGGAGTAGTCACATGTGTTTTGATTAACTCAGCACCAGCACCGTACACAAACAGAGCAGTTCTGTGATGTGATGCTCACAATTAAAGGGCCTCACACCAGCCCTGGATCTGCCTGTCCTGTCCTTCCTCAGCGAGACAGAGACACCTTCAGTGCACAAACCCTGCAGAAGAGTCTGGCAGCCAGGGTTTGCAGAGCCCTGCAGCAGCCAGGGCTGGATATGTTACACTGCAAATGGAACCCAGAGACACAGAGCTGCAGGTATTGTGGTTTCACAGTGACCCAGACCTCCTGCAGTCCTCAATAAAACATGGGCTTGTGATTGATTCACACAAATCGCTTCCTTTACCCAAAGCCCACTGTTCCAGCCAGGACAGGGCAGGTGGGTAATAGACACAGTGTCTAATGCTAATGCAGAGAGGGGAGGCCACAGCAGCACAGGTGTGCCAGCTGTGGGGAGCAGCTCACCTGGCAGAGGGCAGGGAGGGGATCGGGGCAGCTGCTGGGCAGGGCTGGCCATGGTGGCTCTGTGGTGAGGGGTGTCCCCTTCACCTGAGGGGGAGCAGGCTGCTCCTGGTCCCACCTGTCCGTGTCCCTATTGCCCATGTCCCTGTGCCCATGTCCCTTCTGCTCCTGGTCCCTGCTGCCCTTGTCCCTGCTGCTCCTGGTTCCTCCTGTGTCCCCTACAACTGAGGGGGAGCAGGCTGCTCCTGGTCCCACCTGTCCATGTCCCTATTGCCCATGTCCCTGTGCCCGTGTCCCTCCTGCCCGTGTCCCTCCTGCCCATGTCCCTCCTGTCCCTGTCCTTCCTGTCCCTGTCCCTCCTGCCCCTGTCCCTGCTGCCCCTGTCCCTCCTGTCCCTCCTGTCCCTGTCCCTCCTGCCTGTGTCCCTGCTGCCCCTGTCCCTCCTGTCCCTGCTGCCCCTGTCCCTCCTGCCTGTGTCCCTGCTGCCCCTGTCCCTCCTGTCCCTGCTGCCCCTGTCCCTCCTGCCCCTGTCCCTCCTGTCCCTGCTGCCCCTGTCCCTCCTGTCCCTCCTGTCCCTGTCCCTCCTGCCTGTGTCCCTGCTGCCCCTGTCCCTCCTGTCCCTGCTGTCCCTGTCCCTCCTGTCCCTCCTGCCCCGGCTCCGTGCTTTGGGCCAGCTGAGGCCGTGCTGCCTCGTGCCCCAGGTGGAGGGGAGGCAGCAAATGCTGCTCTAGAGGCACGTCAGGGTGTGCATTTTCTGTCCTGGTGCTGGGGGGAACGGGGGAACAAAGCAATTGAGCAGTCTCTTCAGGGAAATGTGGATTGTAACAGCAGACTTAATTTTGTGCTTCGCTCTGGTACCAAAGAGCTGATTTCTGAAACCATTTCCCAGCTCGCAACGCATCTCTGGGCATTAAAATGTTGTGAATTTGCTTGTCATTACCAATATTTTCTTTGACTGAAGCTTATTGAAACAAAGTGATCTTTTTTTTTTTCCTATAACCTTCAATCTTGCTTCTAAAAGCAGTAGCTCTCTTTTTCTTTCTTTCTTGGTCAAATATAAAAATGATGATAATTTCAAACACTGCTTTAGAATAATTGCTTTCCTCCCTCTTTTGTATGACAACAGAAGCTTGGCCTGATCTTAAATCAGATGCTGGCAGGCAGAGGGCTCTTGACAGCCCTGCAAAATCCTTTAGTTACAAGTCGGCTTTAGCCAATTCTTTATTTGTAAATGACAATTTTCTACAGAAAAGTATATGCTTGGGCTTCAATTTTGGAGCCCTAGATTGCAGCCAGGAAAAAAATAATTGAATTTTTACACATTTTTTTTCCCTTCCTCTCTTTTTCTTCCTAACTTTAAAAAAAAACCCAAACAGAAAAAGTGAGGCTGTGTAAGGTGTGATTGGAGCTGGTTGTGGGGTGTTTGCTGCCTCCCTGAGCTGGGCAGGGCTGACTCCAGCACCTGTCCCTGTGGGCTGGCTGTGCTGGGCTGCTCAGAGGGGGCTGCAGCACTGCCCTGCCTCTGCCCTCTCCCGTGGTGACCCCACTAGGATCAGCTGGTGTGGGGTCAGCCCACCAGGCCAGGCTGGGTTTGTGTGCCCGGGCTGGTCCTGCCATCCTGGGGAGCTGCGGGTGGTGGGCTCTGCCCTGGGGCTGCAGCAGGAGGGGCTGGTGCTCAGCTGGGGCTGGGGAGCACGGGCAGGTTCCTGGGGGTTCCTGGGGGCTCCTGGGTGGGCTCCTGGGGGCTCCTGGGCAGGTTCCTGGGGGCTCCTGGGGGCTCCTGGGCAGTTCCTGGGGGTTCCTGGGCAGGCTCCTGGGCAGGCTCCTGGGCAGTTCCTGGGCAGTTCCTGGGCAGTTCCTGGGCAGGTTCCTGGGGGCTCCTGGGCAGGTTCCTGGGGGCTCCTGGGCAGGTTCCTGGGGGCTCCTGGGCAGGTTCCTTGGGGTTCCTGGGTGGGTTCCTGGACGGGTTCCTGGGCAGTTCCTGGGTGGGTTTCTGGGGGTTCCTGGGCGGGTTCCTGTCTGCCCTGGGGATGGTGGTTCCACGAGCCTGGGCTGTGGTGGCTGGAGATGTTGTGTCAGCAGCTCTGGCTGTCTTTCATCATTTGATTGCTTTAAAAGTAACGGTGCAAGTTCCTTTTAAACTGACCCGTGGAAACTTAATAACACATCACTTGGATTTGGTGTAATTGCCTTCTCCTGCCAAGGAGCATTCAGCCTGTCTGTAGGGAGAGGAGGGGCAAAGGCACCTCTGCTTTGAGACAGGAGCTATGAAGATGCAATGCTTGGACTCCTTTTCCACTTTTATTTGCATTGAGAAGCACAATAAAAATCATTTATTAAAAAAAAATATCCGGGGGCTAAAGTTGTTATTGAGAGCCTTTACTCAGCCATCTCTCAAATAAAAACAAAACAAGACAGAGAAAGAAGTATCTAATCAAATCGAATTGAAATTGCTTTTGTAAAGAAATATTCTCATTATCTGGGTTAGGGATGGGATCTGAAGAATATTTCTTTTTTCCACATATTGTTTGAAATAATCTGGTTAAACCATATGCTTGTCTTGTAATTTCTTACAGATGGTCACAAGAACAAAGAAAATATTTGTAGGTGGATTATCGGCTAATACAGTAGTGGAAGATGTGAAGCAATACTTTGAACAGTTTGGCAAGGTAAGTTCTGCCCAAGTGAGCACTACATAGTTATTCTTTCTTCCCTTTCTTTTTGAAGTGTGTTTTGAAAAACAAAAGTGCATTGAGGACTGAGCTCAAAGGAGGGCCAAGTTTTTGCCTTTCCGTGTCATTTCTTGAAGCCTCTGGGATTCCTTCTCTGTTTGTTGCTTGTGTGTGTACAACATTGCCAGCACTGTTTACTTCCACTAAAGAAAAAAGCATCACTGGGAGGTGAATCTGTGTCTGTGCAGGAAGAATGTGACCCTTAGCTGAATGATTACACAGTTGTCTTCTCCATAAAATCAGCCTTCTGTTAGCCCCGATTCCAGTGGCAAAAAGGGCAGATAGACGTATTGGAGAGCTCGTTAATTTGTGAAAATGCCTGAAGGAACCACATGAAAAACAAGAGTAATGTAGAAGTCACTAGAATATCCACTTAATTTCTTACTAGAAAAACCTTCTGCAAGTATGTGTAGGATGCTGGCATCATTGAAAAATAAAAAATAACAACAACAACACACACCCCCCCAAAAAACAACAAAAAAAACCCAAACAAACAAAAAAAAAACCCAAAAAACCAACCAAACAAAAAAACCCAAACAAACAAACAAACAAAAACACCCACAAAAGAACCCCTCACCAAAACCCCAAAAGAAAGAAGTGTGTGCAGAGAAGGAGATCTGAACCTTGCCAGAATAGTCTTTGCTGTGATGTGACAGCTCAAGCCCCCCTGCCCAGGCTTAGTCTGGTGCTTAGTGACACTGAGAGCTTCCATGGAGCTCCCTGGGTCCCCAGGGCTTCTGGACAATTGTCAGGAGTGCCGTGGGTGACGAGCTCACTGAGCTGCCTGCTCTGGGAGCAGTTTGTGGCACCAGCTTCTGCCAGCGCCGCTGGCCACGGGGCTCCTGGGTCCCAGCTCCCAGGGTCCCAGGTCCCAGCTCCCTGGGTCTCATCTCCCTGGGTCCCAGCTCCCAGGGTCTCATCTCCTTGGGTCTCATCTCCCTGGGTCCCAGCTCCCAGGGTCCCAGCTCCCTGGGTCTCATCTCCCTGGGTCTCATCTCCCTGGGTCTCATCTCCCTGGGTCCCAGCTCCCTGGGTCTCATCTCCCAGGGTCCCAGCTCCCTGGGTTCCAGCCTAGCAGCTCCATTCCTGCCTTTTGGAGTGCAGCAATTGATGCTTTAGATGCAAGATTGCGTGAGGACACAGCAGGGTATCCCAGAGCAGAGCTGCTCCCATTCCTTGTAGTTAGTTTATGTTTCTTTTATCTGCCCTGAAAAGCCTGAGCCAGGCAGGATTTTGTCGAGGGCTGAGGAGGCGAGTTTATAAATGGTTCCTGTGCTGGATTGATAGTTGTTTTGCAAACCAGTCATTTTATTTTCAATAATAATCTTCGATTCCGGCAGGATGTTTACAGCCTGCTGAGCCTTTTATTAAAGGATTACACGAGCTTTTGGATGTTTCTTCTGTAGTTACTTCTAATTGCAGAACTCTACTAACCTGTATTTTTCAAGTTAATAATAGTTTCAATATAAGTGCTTTGCATATTGTCTGGATGTTGTCTTAATATAGTCTTTTTAATTTCACCATCTGGTAGTTTCATGCTCGCAGTTTTACAGTCCCTGAGAATGCAGCAGCCAGGCTGGGGATTCGGGACGCTTTGGTTCTGCTTTCATGCTCTGCCATTCTTGAGACAGCCTAGCAGAGGTTTGCCTTCCCAAAGGCAGTACTTTGGAAAAATCTAGTGGTTTTTTCTTCAAGTGTCTTAATTTTGCAGGCTAAAAAATGCAAGGAGATGAAAATTGCACAAGTTGGGGTCAAGGCAGGAGCCCACTGCCATGTCAGCACAGCTGGGGCTGTCCCCTGGGGCTGAGCTCCTGCAGGAGTCAGGCTGGCAGGGCTGGGTCCTGGCCTCCAGGTGACCTGTGTCACTGTCCCTGCTCCAGCTCCTTCAGGCTGTGTGACACTGCTGGTGTTTGGGGCAGAGGCTGCCTGGCTGTGTGACCGTGGCTTGCTGCAGGTGCTGGGCTCTCCCCACAGCCCTGCTCTTTGGCAGCTGGGACTGTTTGGTTTCGGGGTGTTTTGGGGTGGCTCTCCTCAGGCTCTGCTTGTCAGGAGGTGCTCAGTGCCCCTTGGAAATGGGGAGCTGTGGTTCAGCTGAGTTAGAGGATTTGTTAACGTGCTGTGGTCAGGGGATGCTGTGGTCAGATACAGGACCCAGGACTGGGAGTCAATCCTTGTCCATCCCCCTTCCCTGCCCCTCCAGGACTTCCGTGCTGGATCCAGCCCTGTGAGGCAGGGCCTGTGCTCAGCACACAGCCTGGCTCTCCAGCAGGCTGTGATCCACATCCACTGGCCAGCTCTGCCTTTGCTCAGAGCTTTCTCAAAATAAAGCAAATTGCATTACACAATTAATGTGAGAGGAGTTTGATAAGAGCATCTCAGGTGATTTGCTCTTTGAAACACTGAACTTACTTGTCAGTGCGGAAAAAATTGCTTGCAGACCCCTGCAGCTCCTGAAATCTGTTTGCACTTGCTGTGGAGGGGAGCTCTGCAGCCAGGGGAGGCTGTGTGGGTGACTGGGGGCAGCTCTCAGAGCACAGGATGTGGGGCCAGCAGCCACCAGCTCCGGGGCCAGGTGGGCTCCCAGCTCTGTAACTGGAGCTGGCAGGAAGGGGCAGAAGGTTGAATGTGAAACTGCAGCTTTTTGAAAAGTCAGTGCCAGAGCCTTCGTCTCCAGGAAAAGGAGAAGCTTTAGTAAACCCACCAGTGGAAGTGCCTGATGATACAGCACCAAAGTATGTGGCAATGATAATTCCTGAGACTTAGCTTGTAAGATTTCTCATAGTGATTATTTTTTCTTTACCTAAAAGCCCAGGAGTCCTAAATTTCCTGTTGGGAAGGTGGGCATCCTTAGCTTCTGTAAGCTGTGGAAGAAAACTGGGAAAAATGACCTGCGTGAAGCCAAAAGCCATCACAGAGCAGTGCAGTGAGCAGCCTTGTGACTGCTCAGAGCTGCTGGGGCTGGCCCTGTGCACCTGCAGTTGCTGTAGGGCTCCCCAGAGAGGCTTGGCAGGGTCTGGGTGCTGAGGAGGGGAAGGATTCTCCTTCCAGTCACTTCAGGGAGCAGAATCCATGGAGGACATGAGGAGGCTAAGCTGGGGGAATACCAAACTAAGCCATAGGCATTTACAAGCAGAAGGAGAAGGAAAAAAGCCATTGTGTTACTCCTGATCCTGACAGTTGTTTGCTGGATCCTCTCCTGTTTCAGTCAAAGACGTTTCAAACATTCTTACAAACAAAATAAATCCAGTGTCCATGTTGACCTGTCTGGGCTCTGCAGCACTGCCCTTGTGTGAAAAGCTGCTGAGACCAGGCTTTGAAAGAACTGAAATGAGAAGTGTTAGGGCTGAGGAGAGCCAGGGGAGCTCAGTGGGGCTGGCATTCCTCCCTCTGGAGGGGCCATGGTGCTGCCAGGGGCTGCACATCTGCCTGCTTCTGGCTGTTGGAGGGGTGGGAAGTGTGGAGCTCTGAGACTGGGACATGCTGGAGCATTTAAGGCATCAGGCATCATTTAAAAAAGGAAAAAAAATGCACCAGACTCCTCAAGCCTCACCTGGAGGGCTGTGAGCAGCAGAGGAAGCTCTGGGTGCTCCCAGTATGTGCATGTCCTGCACTGGGGCTGCAGCAGTGCCCAGGGCAGGCAGGGCTCAGGTGTGCCCAGGTGTGCCCAGGGCAGGCAGGGCTCAGGTGTGCCCAGGTGCTGCTCCCTGCACAGCTCCTGCAGGAGCTGCCCAGCCTTGTGCAATTACACTTCACATGGCCAACTGTGTAATTAGTTTGGAAGACTTATGCCTAGTCATTGGTTTATCCTAATCGGCTTTGGCTTTTCCCAACAACAAAGTGAGCTTATTTTCCTAAGCTGAAACAACTCTGCTCCCTTTGTTCCTCTCTTTTATTGTCTCATTCCTTTCATTCTGTTTTACTGCCAAAGTTTTGTTTCATTAGGCCTACAAGTCATTTCCAATCCAGTGGGCTGCTACAATGAGGCCTTTATAGCTCAGCTGCCCTGGTTCCCATGTCCCTTCTGGTCCAGAGCCAGCACTTGCTGTTTGACATGGGATTTTAACCCTTTGGCTGCCAGCTGCTGCTTCCCTCGGTGGGGCTGAGGCAGGCTGAAGCCCTGCTGGCTCATGGATCCTGATGATTGCATGCAGGCATTAATTGATGGGGTAATGAGCTGCAGGTAACGCCTTTGGGCCCAATAATGGGAACAGAACTCTGAGTAAAAACCTTCTTGCTGTAATGAGTCGTGGTGGGAACAGTCCTGGGAATGAAAAGGCCACTGTGTCCTTCCAGCAGGGTGGGAACAGTTCTGGTGCAGGTATGTTCCACTTGTCCTGAGCTATTAGATCAGCCCATGTTGGACTGTTATTGTGGAAAAATCACATTTTCCCGTGTAGGAGAGAACACAAATTTAAATTTATCCTTTTTGGAACCAGAATGGTGATGTTTGAAGGAGATGTGTGAAGTAGTTTTGTGGACAAACAATGCTTTTCCATATTGCTGTTGCAGAGTGCTGGAGGAGCAGTCAGTGCTGCTGGGGGTGGTCCCAGATGTTTTGCTTTCAATCTGAGAGCGTTGGCTCTTCAATTTCCCTTTCACAGTAATCCTAAAGTGACTTTCAGGGAAAGTGGGCTCTGGCAGTTGTTTTTTATTTTAAATTTCCAGATGAAATTGGACCAGACCAGCATGCATGAATTTTGTGCTCTGCCCTGGCTTGCTACGAGGTCCCTCAGACCTATCTAGCCATGTTTCAGCTTCACTTGGAATATGTTGTTTCCTTAGGAATGGCTTTTAAGACAGGGAAACTTTGAGACAAGACAGGATTTCTGAATTACCTCTGTGGATTTGAAATGTTTTGTACAGTCACTTGTTATTTCCTGTGAGACACAGAACAGACCAGTGGAATAATAATAATAATATCTGAATTCTGAGATGGG